CAAGGACTTTGGCTAGGACTGAGGAAATGCATGGGATATTACAAGATATAGGTAAAAGTATAAAATTCCACATCCATCCACGTTACACCTACCCCTGGTGTTACTATGGCAACACAGACAGATTTATGGTGCCCTATCTAAACTAGGCTGGCAGAGAGATACTCCAAGGTCAGTCTCACGGGAACCAACCTGGGGCGCTTCTTCAGGAAAGTTACAGCATCTACTCCCATGCACTCCAACAACATACCCCCCCCTTAGGAATCCAAAATGACAAGCGAAGGTGAAGAGAAACAGAACTTAAAGAAATTGAAACTTAGCCTGCGCTTGACAGGGACTCTGTCTCTTGGGCTTGCACTCCTAGCCTGCCTTCTGCCTGCAGTTGGAGTGTCAGGTGCAGGGCTGGAATCTTTCTCTGCAGGTGTGCGGCACTCCTGAGTACATCGCCCCAGAGGTGATCCTGATCCAGGGCTATGGCAAACCGGTGGATTGGTGGGCCATGGGGATCATTTTGTACGAGTTTTTGGTGGGCTGCGTACCGTTCTTCGGCGACACCCCAGAGGAGCTCTTCGGACAGGTGATCAGCGGTAGGTTCCTCCTCACTTCACTGTGGGCTGTGGCAGCGTCAGGGCATCACGGTCAGCCCTTCCCATAGGCCTGGCAGAGCCTCCCATTCACACGGCCTTTGTCTGGAGCCCTTGATGAAAGGGCCGTTTAAAAAACCCATGAGATGAGCTCAGCCAGGTGGCCAAGTCAGAAGCCCCCTTCAGTGCTCAAGCATGTGATGCATTCCAGGGGCAAAAAGGGGGGGGGGGGGGGGGGGGGTCATTCCCCTCTTCAAAGAGAGAATTCTGTTGTCTGCAGAATCCTAGGAGACATGTCGCTAACCTCCATTGTCCCTCCAACTTGTTCCAGCAACAAATAGCCCCTGGGAAGGATAGCTTGCTGGCTGTCAATACTGGCATGAACAGAATGACATGAACCCCAAAACACCAAAATATTTTGAAATTGTGGTGCTTGTAGAATGAAGTGGGGGGTGGGAGCGAGACAGGAGAGGAAGAAACAGGCATGAAGGCAGCCTCCCTACCCTGTTTTCTGCCCCCCGGAATTTTAGGCAGCCTCTGCACGTTTACTTTTCAGTTTGGATATTTATCAACTGCCTGGCTTTGGACAAGTTGAAGCCAAAGCAGTTTACAGGATAAAAACAAAATATAAACACGCCGTATAATCTTTATCGTACAGCATCCAGAATACAGCTTGGTTAATACAAAATCAGCAAGCTACAGTTGACAAAACATCCCCAGCAGATTAAATTTCAGTAAAGGTTGTGTTAAATAAAGTTGATTCAGCAAGTTTGCAGGAAGGGGTGAGTGGAGAAGGTTGGGAGTGGTCCCACAATTCAAGGCCAGCAACTGAACAAGCACTGCAAGGGTCCGCACCAGATTTCACCTTTCTGTGTGAGGAGATGGTGAGGAGGAGTGGGGCTGAAGGCTGTGATGGAATGCAGGGAGAGACAGGCCTGTGCCTATGTAGGCCTCAGGCTTTGAGGAAATTGAGGAAACTTGACATCTCCCGTGCTTGCGCTCTACGCACGATGCAACAGAAGGGGCCAGAACCACTGGGGCACCGTATCTCCTGTTTCAAGCAGCTGCACAAAGTCAAATAGCCCGCTGTATCAGAAGCCACGTGGCGGTTCCCCTGAGCAACCCTGCCTGGCAGTATTTGATAGACCTCTCCTCCATGGAGAATCTCTCTGATGTTCATGTCCCGTCCCTGTGTGGTTGTGGAGGGGACTGCAGAATCTCCTCCAAAAAGTCTCTCTGTTCTCCCTTTTCCTCTTCAGATGAGATCCTGTGGCCAGAAGGTGATGAGCAGCTCCCTGCAGACGCGCAAGACTTGATCACGCAGCTTTTGCGGCAATGCCCACTGGAGCGCTTAGGCACAGGTCTGTATTCCACAGGCCAGGGGGCAGCCCGTGGAAAGGGGAGGGGGCTTACCTTGGACGTGGTGCTCAGCAAGAGTGCTGGGACAGGACTGAGGAAACCCAAGGTCAGATCTCCCCTCAGCCACGAAGCGCACTGGGTGAACTCATCCTCTCTCAAGGGCTCTTGTGAAAACAAGCTGGAAGAGTAGCAAGAGATCCACGTGCCTTACCCAGATCCCCTGGAAGGAAGGTGTGGGTGCAAGGACAGCAGACAGACCCATAATACCCGTCTTGTCCACCAGGAGGGGCCCGCGAAGTGAAGCAGCACCCATTCTTCCGCGGCCTGGACTGGAACGGGCTGCTCCGGCAGAAGGCAGAGTTCATTCCCCAGCTGGAGGCAGAGGATGACACAAGCTACTTTGACAGTAAGGCCCAGTGGGTGGAGCTGATCCCCAGAAGGGTGCAGCCCCCCAGCTGAGAAATGGGGAGGCTTGGGACAGTGTAGGACTGAAGGCTGGACTGATGTCCTGTCTGGGAAAGGGGTGGGGGATTCCTTTTAGCCCAAATTCCACCCAGTAGCAGAGCTGGTCTTTAGCAAACTCAAGTGCTGCATGTCTGTCCCGGAATCTTCCCTCCTGCAAGGGGGAATGCTGTGGCACAGTGGCCAGAATCCCTGCGGATGGTGCTGAGAGTTTCTCCTGGGATGTGCAGCTCCCCAGGGAGCTGCCTTGAATGGGCTCAGATCTCCGGTCCCCTCTAGCTCAGCAGCAGCTCTCCAGGGGGGTCTCAGGCTGAGGAGGGTCTTTCCCCCCAGCACCGAGATCCTTCCAACCAGAGGTGCCAAGGGACTGGACTTTGACTCAGGGCACGCAACGTGCAAAACGAGGCATGGGGTCGGTGCGCAGGCACAGGAAGCTGCCGTGGGCACAGTCAGGCCCTCGGGCCGTTGTCTTCTCTGACTGGCCTCAACAATCCTGGGTTAGGCAGGCAGGGAGGGGCCTTTCCCTGCACTCGAGATCCTAGTAGGTTCGAGGGCTATGTGGGTGCTCTGGCACTGAGCTACGGCTGCTGCGGCCCCCGATAAGGACAGAGTTTGGCGTGCGACCCTACCAAGTGGCCATGTGCAGAGTCAGGCCAGCAGCAGCGCTTTGGGCCGTCATGCAGCGAGCGGCCTTTCCCTGGGCTTGTTGCCGGGATCCGTGTTTGAGTGGAGATCTTCTGCCCGCAAAGTGGGCCCTCTGCCAGTGAGCCACCGTATGAGCCAGCCGTCTCTCTCCTTCCCCATTCCCCAGGTCGTTTGGAGCGCTATCGGCACCTGGGCTCTGAGGAGGAGGAGACCAACGACGACGAGTCCTCCCTGGAGATCCGCCAGTTCTCTTCTTGCTCCCACCGTTTCAGCAAGGTTGGGCACGTTTGGTGCTTGAGTGCTGCTGAGGCCGGTCTCTTCCCTGGCCGGAGCAGGGAGGCAAAGGGGCACTTGGTATCGCTGGCCCCATTCCCATGGCAGGGACTTGGCGCTGGCCCGTAGCTAACATGGGGCCCACGGGGCCTGGCCCCCTAGTCTTTCTTCTGGGGCCCCTCCTTCCTGGGCTGCCCCCAGAGTGCCCCAACATGCCACCTGCATTGTGCTTTGATTTAATTAGCTGGCGGGGGGCCTCCCCTTCCCAAAAAATTCCCTAGCTACGGGGCTGACTTAGCGGGGTGGGGATCACTTCTTGGCTGGGGCATCCCTCCGCTGGTGTCCCCATTTAGGGCGGGGGGGGGGCTCCTGAGCAGGCCCCATCCAACAGCTGCCTCCCTCCCCTCTGTCCGTCCGTCCCCACCTGCGCCCTTCCAGGTTTACAGCAGTTCCGAGTACTTGGCCAGTCCCTCCGGCCTCAGCTGCCCAGCGGCTGAGCAGAGCCAGGACAATGCCAAGGCCAAAGGGGCCGAAATGGGGGATCGCAGCTCGGGAGACGAGGAGAAGGGCCGGACCACGGCTCCAGAGGCCAGGTGAGCAGCGGGAGCCCCAAAGACCCAGTCGTGCCCCTCGCTGCTGGGCTGGGACAGGCCCCAAAGAGCCATGCTGGGCTTTGGCCGTGGGAGGGGCTCCACTGGGACGATGGGGAAGGGCAGGGTGACCGGCCTGTGCCTCCGGGGCTCCTCGGGGCCCGCTTCCTCTGCTGAGTCTCAGCCCCAGAGGGCTGCCGAGGGGGTGGCTGGCTTGGCAAGGCAGGGCTTAGTGGCCGGCCGGCCCCTGGGAGGCCAAGGACACACCCCTCCTTGGTCAGGGAAGAAGCAGGCCACTCCTGCCCTGTGGTGCTCCCCTCCTGATGCTCCTTCCTCCAGTTTGGTGTCGTGGTTAAGTGCGCGGACTCTGATCCGGGAGAACCGGGTTTGATTCCCCACTCCTCCACTTGCACCTGCTGGATGACCTTGGGCAAGCCGTAGTTCTGTCAGATCTGTTCTTGAAAAAGAGCAGTTTCTGTCAGAGCTCTCTCAGCCCCACCTACCTCACAGGGTGTCTGTTGTGGGGAGGGGAAGGGAAAGGAGTTTGTAAGCCGCTCTGAGACTCCTCTGGGTAGTGAAGGGCAGGGGATAAATCCAGTCTCTTCTCCTCTTCTTCTTCTTCTTCTGCTCAGGCTCCGTGCGTGGACATCCTGTGGCGCCACCTTCCACACCTTCCGGCAGGAGCGCAGCCACAGTCCCGCCACCCTGAGCAGCACATGTAGCCTGGAGGCGATGCCCAAATTTGCCTTCTCCGAGCAGGAGAGCCCTTGCCGTGGCCAAGCAAACTGGGACCGTCCTCTGTTTGTGGTTGGGGACACTGAGGCGGCTCCGCCGAGAGCACCGAACAAGGCCTCGCAGCTGTCAGGTGTGTGCAGAGGGGTCTTGGGATGCTGATCCTGAGGCAGAAACATCAGCAGCTCCTTGGGAGGAATTCCCCCCCCCCAGCAAAACCACATGAGGCTGCCTTATGCCCAGGCAGGCTGTGGGACCCAGTATTTCCCCACCTGAGGTCTTTGGATTGGAGACAGGGGGCTGCCTGCTCCAGGACCTCCTTAGAGCCAACCAATAGGAATAATCAGAATGGCACTTGTGAAGCACTTTGAGTGTGTACGGCACGGGAATCCTTACAGCAGCCCTGCAGGGTAGGCCAGCATTGTTTATGTACATTTGCTATTTTTCTTAGCTCTTTTAGTAATGACCCCATAATGCCAGTGGGGAACAGAGTCTGAGACAGAGTGCCTTTCTTGTGGCTACTGACTTAAGTTTGTGGCAGAAAGACACTTAAAGCCGCTTTCGGTCCAGGTTTGCGATCTGGCTTTGCAAGTTAGATGCCTCTGGAGAGCCCAGTGCTGGAGTCCTGAAAAGGATGCTGTTTTCAGAGGAAGTGTGGCTCAGAAGGCGGAACTTCCCCTCGTCTCTCATGACGGATAGCTCTTGAGGAAGCTTCTCATCTGCCCCCCCCCCGCCACAGTGGTTTGCCTCCTGCAGGTGGCGCTTTGCTCCAGTGCAAGGAGACGTCCCCTGATGGAAGACGCTCGCAAGATTGGCAGGCGGCTCCTTGCATGGGGAAAGAGGCCTCAGCAGGCAGAACTGCTCTGCAGGTTCCAGCCCATCCTCTGGGGGTGGCCACTGGGGTGCCTGATTCTGTGAAGATGGACAAGGGGCCTGGCTTGTGGGGGCAAGAAAAGCAGGGAGGGAGACTTAGAGGAAGCAGCTGCTGCAGAGCCTGCCTCTCTGGGAAAGTGTGGGGAGGTGAATCTTGGTCCGTCCATGGGGCGACTGAGCAGGCTTGCATGGGCTTCTCCACGGGCTTCTGCTTCCTTCTCCAGCTGACCTGTTTGGCTTGAACTGCGCCCGCCTACGGAGCAACAGCACAGGCACCAAAAGCTCCACCCCGCAAAGCCTGGAACCCGAGAGCGGTCGCCGGCTGGGAGGCCACAAAGATGCTCCGGGGAAGCACCGTGTCTCGCCAGGGGGCAGGGTGCCCAAGTCCGCCTCGGTCTCTGCCCTCTCCCTCATCATCTGCTCAGGTTTGTTAGGCGGTGTCCCCCATCCCGTCCCGTCCCCCCCCCCACCAGAAGAATGAGCGATGGGATGCTGCAGAGGGTGCCTTCGTTGTACGAGGGGGAATGGTCTTGTGAACAACTGGGGGCGGCACAGGGGGGCGGAGATCTGGGAAAGGGCTGCAATAGCTGGTCTAGCCTGGCCCCTCCAGACTGCTCTGGGCACCCACCGTCAGAACAGCAGGCTTAAGCAAGCGAGGCACAGCCTGCGTCCGGCAGAGATGGATGGTCCTTTGAAATGACTCCACGGTCAGGCCTGCCGGTTACTCTGTCCACCCTGGAGGAGGCCGAGCGGGCAGTGCCGGGAATCTGAGCCCAGGAGGAGGTGGCTCCGTGCTGAGCTGGACCCCCTGGGATGTGCCTGGGCCCCTTCCTATCTCTCCAGCGGCCCAGAACAGGGCTCCCCAAAATGGTGCCCCTGGGTGCCGTGGCCAGTGTTCCCTCTAAGCTGAGTTAGAGTGAGCCAGCTCACAGTTTTTTAGCTTCCAGCTCACACATTTTTTGTTTCAGCTCAGGAAAGATGGCTCCAGAGCAAACTAGTTTATCCAGCAGCCAAATCGCTCGCTCACAACTAATTCCAGTAGCTCACAAAGTAGAATTTTTGCTCACAAGACTTCACAGCTTAGAGGGAACATTGGCCGTGGCCTTTGCTGACACTTTTCCAGGCGCCCACCAAGTGTTTTTAGAAAACGGGCAGAGCTAGGTGGGCTTTTGTGCAGCATGGCTTCTGATTGGCCGTCCGAGAGTTGCTTGGCTGTGCAGGTTTTTTGAAAGGTTGCTTTGGCAGCAGCTGCCAACACGGCGCAAGGTCTTCACTGTGTGGTCGAAGGTCAGCCGTGGCAGCCGCTTTTGCGACTGCGCCCACCGCACTGTGTCAGAATTCCAGAGTTGCCCACGGGCTCAAAAAGGCTGGAGACCCCTCCCCGGATCCTTTAACGGGAGACGGGGCCTGGATGGGCTGCTCCGTGACCCCCTCCCTTACATTTTACAGATGACTCTGGCGGGGGCGCCCTCATGAGTCCCATCTCACCCCGCTCCCTCTCCTCTAACCCGTCTTCCCGAGACTCCTCCCCAAGCCGCGACTCCTTGCTCGGTGGCGCCAACCTGCGCCCCCCCATCGTGATCCACAGCTCAGGCAAGAAGTATGGCTTCAACTTGCGTGCCATTCGAGTCTACATGGGCGACAGTGATGTCTACGTCATGCACCACATGGTTTGGGTGAGGCGCGGATGCATGAGGAGGGGAATTGCTGGGGGGTGGGGGGGAAGAAGGGTGTTATTGGCTGCTATTCTGCTGTTATAGAGGACTAGAAATAAGGCCCGCTGTGGAAATAAATACAACGGGAGCTAGAAAGAGGCTCTGGGAGAGTGCTCTGGCTTTGGGCAAACAGTGTCAGTCTGCTTTTAAAACATGAACCTGGGACCTGCACACCACCAGAATACAGCAGGTTCCATATGTAACTGACATTCCAACTGCCTTGGGGGGGGGGAGTTTGAGGTGTGGAATGGAGTGAAGTCCAATCAGCTTCCATATGCAAAAGACCAGGTTGTCGCAGCAGTTGTGGTGTGGGCGGGACCCGGGCTTTGCCTTCTGATTGGTGGCGATATATGCTGAGGAGCAGTGCCATCAGCCATACACTAAGGGAGTGCATTTTAGAATTAGAACTTTGGCACCCACTATTCAATTATATATAAGGAGAGATAAGGGGAAAGCATCTGGAGTCAGCCCCAGAAAGCAGGAGGATACTGTGGCTCAGTGGCAGAGCATCTGCTTGGCATGCAGAAAGTCCCAGGTTCAATCGTTGGCAGCATCTCTAGTGAAAAGGACCAGGCAGTAGATGATGGGAAAGACCTCCGCCTGAGACCCTGGAGAGCTCCTGCCAGTCTGAGTAGACAATGCTGACCTTGATGGACCAACAGTCTGAGATAAGGCAGCCGTGTGTGTGTTCAAGGGAAGGGGTATGTGTGGATGAGAGTACCCATTGTATGGCATTGTGGGGAGAGAAGCCAGAACACACTGACTGATTTTTCCCATGTTTCATCTGTGGGTTCTGTTTTATCCTCACAACTGCCCTGTAAGGTGGGTTAGGCTCAACAAGAGGTTGTAGCTAGCTCAAGGTCACCCAGTGAGCCTCCCAGTGGATCGGGGGTTTGAAAGTGGGTCTTCCACCCTCAACAACCCGCTGGCTGGCTGTGTATGCTTAAGAGCAACAGGCCCTGGCGGTCAAAATAAGCACCCTGGCGAGGACAAGGAAGACGTGCAGATAGGGAAGGATCTGCTTGCGCCACACTGTGCCGTGGCCCCAAATCGCAAAGTGGGAAGACATCGGCGGGTGCCACAGCAAGCGAGGAAGAATCAATTTATGGCTGCTTGGTCCGCTTGCGTTCCAGAGCGTAGAGGAAGGCAGCCCTGCTCAGGAGGCCGGGCTGAGGGCAGGGGATCTCATCACCCACGTGAATGGGGAGCCGGTTCAGGGCCTGGTGCACACGGACGTCGTGGAGCTGCTGCTGAAGGTACGTGGCTGAGAACACCCCCGGGCACCAGGGCTATTTTTGGGCAGGAACACACAGGAACGGAGTTCCGGCTGGCTCCCAAGTTGGCCACACCCAGCAGGAACTCATTAGCATAATAGGCCACACCCAACAGCAGAAACTCATTAGGATTGGCTACATTAGGGGTGTGCGGCCTAACATGCAAAGGAGTTCCTACTACAAAAAGAGTTTGGACAACAAACAAGGTAAACAGAATAAGAAGCAGAAGGTGGGTGTGGCTGGATGACCACACTTCTGGTAACATGGGGGTGTGGCCTAATGTGCCAATGAGCTGTGCTGTCAGGGGTGTGGCCTAATGTGCTAATGAGTTTCTGCTGTTGGGTGTGGCCTATTATGCTAATGAGTTCCTGCTGGGCTTTTTCTACCAAAAAAGTCCTGGATATGGCTATATCACAGGAGAAGAGGAAATAACAGCAACAATGTGTGTTACATCTGGCAATAACATATCCACAATTGTACAACCTTATACAAAAGGCATAAGTGCCTTAATATCCGGAAGACAAGTTCTCAGGTATGACTCGTTTTGATACTAGTTCGGGTATCTTCTTCAATGTGTATGACCCAGACGTCAGGCTTCCGTAACGCTGGCCGCAAGGGAACAAACGGCCTGCATGTTGCCACCCAAACAGTAGTGCCTCGTAGCAAAACTGTAACATTCAATGTCCGTTATTACCAGGAGACTTAACATATTTTGGCCGTGAAAGCCCAAATATAAATATTTTATAATTACCTTGAGTAGAAGAAAATTGAAATTAATCGCTGTTGCTATGGACAGGAATGTAACGTGCAACTCCACCATTAGTGGCTTCATATCTGTTGTTTAAACATACCATAGTATTTTCAATAGTTACAATTAACAAAATGTTAATTGATCTGCAAGCATCCCTAATGTCTCAGGAAATATAATCAACAGTTAAAATAGGCGAATGAACAAACACATGACACTAAGCTAGTCATTACAAATTATATAAATATTAAACAACATTTGTCCTTCAAACACATGATGAATATAACAAACTTGTGCAGATGAACCTTCCCCAAAAAACATTTGTTCAAACTGTGTGGGTTGCCAAATGTGAAAGCAACCTAATCACCAGATAAAGGATTCCAGTAATAATGAGTAACAACTGGTCACCCTAAGGAACAGGCCAAGTTGCAGCATTAAAGGGGCATCACTAAAGTGAAGATTATAAAGAAGCTTTTTTTAATATCTTCCTTTCATAAAAATGCTGACAATTCCAATTTATCATTTGAGTCCCCAGGGTGATAATGTGTTAATCGTGAAAATTCAGTATGGGTCACGTCTTAGAAGTCTTAGGGTTCCCAAGTACTTACTGCGATCCGGCGGGGGAAACATGCTCCCCGGCCGGACCATTCCTCCCTGTAATGCACCATGCCATCGGCAGGAAGTGACGCTGGGCGACGCTCTGGCAATGGGGCTGAAAACTCTATGGTACCATCGAGTTTCCAGTCCCATTGCCAGAGCATCGCCCGGCGTCACTTCCTGGTGACGGCATGGTGCAGCGCGTCTGTTGTCCCCGCGGGAATGATCCTGCGAAGACGTCTGTGTCCTCTGCCGAATCACGGTAAGTACTTGGGAATCCTGGTCTTAGAACTGTCTGTTTCATTAGCTGAAAATTCCTCCAGAGCAAAAAATCTTCAGAGCTATGTAATCTGTTTTGAAAACGATCTATTGAAGGGTATGCCTTTGTGAAAACCTCTGTGAGTTTTACTGTTGTGCTCTATAATCCTGGTTCTTAATGGTCTGGAAGTCTGCCATGTGAACTAAGGTGGAAAGACTATAAATAAAGTTAAGAAAAGATAGACAGGAACTCTCAGGCTGGGGCAAGTGATGCTCTGTATTCTTGGTGCTTGGGGGGGGCAACAGTGGGAGGGCTTCTAGTGTCCTGGACCCACTGGTGGACCTCCTGATGGCCCCTGGTATTTTTGGCCACTGTTTGACACAGAGTGTTGGACTGGATGGGCCATTGGCCTGATCCAACATTGGCTTTTCTTATGTTCTTATGATAGAAAAAGTAAATAAATAAGGAGAAGAACACTGAATAAATAAATGTCCTGGCTACAGGGGTTCCAGGAAAGTGGGGGGTAGCTTTGTACAGATTCAGGCTGCCTCAGCGGCTTCCTCTCTCCCTCTCTCAGAGTGGTAACAAGGTGTCGCTGAGGACCACAGCCCTGGAGAACACCAGCATCAAAGTGGGCCCTGCACGGAAGAACAGCTCCAAGACGCGGATGGCCCGCAGGAGCAAGAAGAGCCGCAAACGGGACAGCCAAGACCGGTAGGTGGCAATGACAGGAGGACTTTGGGAACCAGCTTTGGGGAGGAAGAGCTCTGGGAGCTCTGACTGGGGCTCGAAAAAATGGCTGAGAGTTGCTCTTCCCAACATAAAAGCAGTTCCTCTTTGGTGCAGGCAGGAGAAAAGGGCCGCAGCAAAGATGGACCATAAACCAAAAATGAAAGCGCAACGGTGTACTGGAAAGAAAAATGATTTTATTCAGTTGTGCTGTTTAGGGATGGGCACAGACTGGGCAAATACGGTTTGTGGTTTGTGGCATGCCCGGTTCACAGACGACGAACCATCACGAACATTTAGGGTCCAAGTGAACTGGTTTTGTTTGTGACCCACTAGAATGGCTCCCTGGCAAGCTAGAGGCACTGGACTCGCAGGGGACCTCCGGCTGACTCTCCTCTACGTGCCCTCCAAGTTTGGTGAGGATTGATTATATAGGGTCCAAGTTATGGCCCTCCAAAAAAGGTTCCCACCTATCATTTCCCAAGCAAGCACTTTCCCAGGAGCACCTTCTTTGGGGGGCTGTAACTCAGACCCCATAAACTGAATCCTTGCCAAACTTTGAAGAGGAGAGTCAGTCAGAGATCCCCTGCAAGTTTGATGTCTCTAGCTTGCACAGGATATGTTCTATACACTCCTGACCCTCTTAAACCTGTGCATGTCAAAATTGCCTGCCACGAACTTCGCTTCCTGAGCCATAAAGTGGCCAAAATTCCTCACATACTTTCGTTTGTGAGCTGGTTCTTGCCCAGCCATAGGGCTGTCCCTACACATTTTGCATATGCTTTTTTAGGGAGATCTAGAAGAACGTAAATAAAGACAAAAAATAAGCTACTATGAAAAAGAGATTTCAGAAATGTATTAAATGAGCATTATACAGACTATATATGAATGGAAGCATAGACCTTAAAAACAAAATTTGCTGTCATCACCACGGGAATGCGTGTGGCCAGGAGGCGGAGGAGGCGGGAAGTCAAAGGGGGGGCGACAGCCACCTTGTGCTCATGACGCAGGCCAAGCCCGGCTGCACCAACGTGAGGCCCTCTGGCGGGGATGGAAGGGCGCGGAGCAAGAGGTGGGCAGGGCACCAGGATGAAAGGGCGCAGCCGCGAGCCGGAAGGAACCGCCGGCATGGCAGGAGGGGAGGCAGGACAAACAGTTTAAAAAGCCCATGGGTCCTCCCCCAATAGGAACAGGACACAGGGTGATAGGCGGGGAAGGGAGCCACTGGGAACGTAGGAAAGGTGGGGAAGAAGCGGGGTGGAGGGAGATAAAAGGAGGCCAGCTGGCCAGGGTTGAGGAGGAGGATGCAGCAGCAGGGGAATCAGAGCCGAGCAGAGGGAGAGCGAGGGCCGCCTGAGACCCCAGAGGATGCCTGTTGCTGGCTGGCCAAGGCCTTTCACCTGCAAACTGAGACCCCAGCCGCCCTTTGGAGGACTCTTAGGACCACAGCGGAAGGGGCAGGGCCCATCGGGACACAGGGGCGGCCTGACAATGTAGATCACTAAACCTTTCACAAATTAGAAAAAAATACACAACTAACCTGTAAAATTGGATAGCCGATTTTATGTAATGAATCACAGACATCTATAGGCCAACACGAGAGGCCTCTGAGCCTTAGGATGGAGGACCTGGAGTGTTTGGAATTGAGCATCTACATGAGGGTATTCCCCATGGTATCCCCTTGCACCTCCCATTTCTCCCTTTGCTGACACGATAGTGATATATCTATTATAGACATTTAAAAATAGACGGCAAATAGCCTGCTGGCAGTGATGCGAGGAAAGTGGTGCAGCTTGGGGCATGGAGGTTCAGAAACCCACACTTTCACATCTGTGAAGGAACGGACTCTCAGTCTACCCCCCCCCCCAATTCCTTTGGGTTGGTGCCTGGGAAGTCAGAACTCTTATAGCTGTTCCATGTCTCCACTTGGCAATAAAACCCCTTTTTGCTCCTCAGGAGTGCCAAAAACAAACTGGGCATCTCCCACTGCCACCAGTGACTCTGAGAGTATCTTCTAAATGGAATCGTGCATCTAGCACTCTGTACTTGCACTGCCATTTAGTAGTTCCAGTGCTTTGGTATGCCTCCCACTACATTCCTACAAGCAAACACAGGGGTAGTGAATCACAACTTTGCCATTTTTAGCTATTGCGGTTCAGGAATGATGAGCTTACTTGCTGCTCTACATTTCAGATAGCAAGACTGAATAGGTGTGGTGCATTTCCAGAGATCAGTCCTCGAGCATTCAATACACACACACACACAAAAGATACGCACACAGACACACAAAAAAGATTAATAAATGAAGAAAAAGAATACACTTGGTTTGGTCAGAAATTCAGACTGAGCAAGGGTACAAAGAAAAGGTGAAAATATGCAGTCTCTTTCACTATGTTTGGAATTTATCCTAAATGATGTTTAAATAGGACAGGCTAGTTTTATTTGAGCTTGCAGTAGTTTAAAGTTCATAATTACCCTTGTTCTTATGGTTGGGGCTTCTCCCCATTGTTCATTGGCCCATGAACAAGATCAAGTCCCTAAGTAAAAGTGTAGTTCTGTATGGCTTGTGCCTGTCCAGGGTGAAAAGAGTAAGAGAGCTTCTTCTCTGTGTCCAGAGAATTTATAATCTACCCTGGGGGAGAGTCCACCTCACCCAGGGTCATTCAGGCAAGTCTTCCTGTTCCATGAACAAGTTGAATGCATTCTAGCTATTAGGTTGTTTTCTTCCCAGTCCCTGGGTGTCACCTTCCAACAGGGTGTAGGATGGTAAACTGATCACCACTTGTATACATATAAATCCAGAGAACATAACAGCTGTGAGCACAGATGCCTTTAGATGGGTTAGACCGATTCATGGAGGAGAGGTCAATCAAAGACTACTAGTTATGCTGAATAAAGGAAACCTCCATGCTCAAGTCAGTAAACCTCTGAAACCAGTGCCAGGAGGGTTTCAGAGGAAGGGCTCCACCTCTACACTTGGTTTGTTGGCCCTCCAGGGCAACTGGTTGGCTCCCGTGTGGAACAGGATGCCTGGACTAGAAGGACCATTGATCTGATCCAGCAGTGCTCTTCTTGTGTTGTTAGGGGTTAGTTGTCATGGAGAATTCAGAGGTGGGAGTGAAAGTTGAGCCCTTTCAGACAAACTGTGTGAACTTAGATCCAATACGATCTAACGAGGGGGCACCGTTGAATGTGTCTTTAAATTGCATTTTAGTTTTATCGCCATCTAATGAATGTTTTATGTGGATTGTTTGTATTTTAACTGATGCCTTGTATTTATATTTTATTGTGTATGTATACTGCTCGTCAGTTTTGGAAGCCGCCCTGAGCCTGCTTCCGGGGAGGGCGGGGTAAAAGTGAAACAAATAAATAAATAAACTGCTTTTAATGTGTTATAAGGTTTTGCCAGTTGCAGCCTGTTTCCACCTATACCAGAGTTTGAATGCTTTTCATGAGCACAGTTTTTCCTTCCTCTTCACAGGAGGAAATGCCTCTTCAAGAAGATCTCCAAGCAAACGTCTGTCCTGCACACCAGCCGCAGTTACTCCTCGGGGCTCCATCACTCGCTGTCATCCAGCGAGAGCCTCCCAGGGTCTCCTACACACAGCCTGTCACCTGGGCCCACCACCCCCTGCTGCAGCCCTGCCCCAGACATTCCCCCAGGTAGGAATCTACATCTGCGAGAGGGGTGGGTCTTAGCCCCTCTCGCACGAGCACTTTCTCAGAAGTGCTATCCATTGCATCTCTGTTGGATCTCTAAAGCCCCCCCCCCATGTCTTTGGGGGCTAGGAGGGAGGAGCACTATTTGTGGCCTTACACCGCCCCCCGCTGAGAAGCTCTCCTTTTCTCTTTGTCAGATTCTGCTTCCCCGCAAAGCACTTCCCCTTCCTCCAGCACTCCCACCTCTCCGGCAGGACACATCCGGCCAAGCTCCCTTCACGGACTGGCCCCAAAGCTCAGCAGCCAACGGTACAAGGTCGGGCGGCGCAAGTCAACCAGCAGCATTCCCCCGTCCCCGCTCGCCTGCACCCCTTCCTCTGCCCCACAGCCCCCGTCTCCCCAAAGGTCGCCGTCACCACTGCCCCTGTTCACCAAGAGCACCCAGGCTTTCCAAGGCAAGACTCTGTCCCCACCAACAATCGTGCGGCAAACATCCCGGCCCCGCAGCACTGAAGGGTCTCGCTCCCCGTTGCTCAAGCGGGTCCAGTCTGCTGAAAAAATCCCCACCTGCCTGGCCGAGAAGAAGAACGCTGGGACCCGCAAGCTCATCCTGGAGATGCCCGTCCCAGGAGAGGAGAGCTGCGAAGACCCGAATGATGCCCAGAGAGAGGCTGGTGCTCCTTGCCACTGTGACGGGCCCGGGGACCGTCACGAGCGGGGCCAGGAGGTCGTGGTCATGCGGCGGCTGAACTTGTCCGAGCGCCGAGACTCCTTCAAGAAGCAGGAAGCTGTCCAGGAGGTGAGCTTCGATGAGCTGGAGCTGGGGGCTGTGGCCGAAGACCAGGCCAAGGGCAAGCCTGCTGCCTGGCGCCACGGTTCGTGCCTGGCTTCCTGGGTGGAGGACAAGCCTTGCGGCTCAGCCCTTGCCTCGGGCCCCAAGCCGTTGTCGGTGCCCCACATAGCAGTGCAAGGGGACGAGCCAGTGGGTGGCACAGCCGTGTGGGAATGCCAGGGCTCCTCCTACCCTGTGCGGCTGGAGGCCCGCGTGTACATTGAGCAAGAGGACGGGACGACGGCCGTTGAGTACAAAAGCGTCTCCTCCCAGCGCCAGGGGGCCCAGGAACAGAGGGAATTCTCAGCCCTGCCCGGAGCCGGGCCAAGGACAAGCCGTGGGGGGGAGGCAGAGGACTCACCCCCAGCATACCCCAGGAGCCACGCATGGAGGAGTTTGGAAGCCTGGCAGCAGGAGTCCGCCAGAGCCGGGCTAGGCCAGAAAGAGGACCTTGACCAAGCCCGGAGCAAAGCCACGGAGGGAGAATAGCATGGGGTGGTCCCGGTTTACTTTCTGCCTCCGTCCCTCCCTCCCTCCCGCTCCCCCTCATCCCGAGAGATCTTTGGACTCCCCCAGGGGCCAAGGGTGGACGGGCTCCACTCTCTTTCCGTTAACTGTTGGGTTGGGGTGCGGTGGGGGACTGGATCAAGTTCAACATGAGGAAGATGCCCTGGAGAACGTCAGCTCCTCTTGGAAGCTCAGTCCGAGCACGTCCGCATTTCGGCACATCCCACCCCATCTGCCTTGTAACGTCTCGCAGCATCCTTCGACTGCGTGGCCAGGCATTCACGGACCTCCGGGGATGGTGAAGGGATGTGCTGACCATGCAGAATTCTCTCATCCCATTTATTTTCTACACCCTGAAAGTGGCTTAAAGTGTGTGCCCATGGGGCAGGGGGGCTCAAGCGATTGACTCAAAAAAACGCACCACTGAGGCACAGAGGCAGTGCAAGGCCAGCTTTGTCATGTGGGTGTTCTGCAGTGGAGAGCCAGTTCTTCCCAGGATCAACAGCAGAAGCTCTTCCCCCGAGAAGCCAGCATTTGCAAAATTGAAAACAGCCTGGAAGGATCATCCCTGAGCTTTTGGGGGGCAGCCTACCTGCAGCATTCGAGCACACGCAAGGTTCAAGGAGGAGGGGAGGAGATTTTAAAGTGTGTTCTCACAGAATGTGCAGGTGGCAATGTGGCTAGGTGTGACTTACTAGCTGGCGAATCTCCAGCATACCAGATCCACAGCCCCTGTGTGTGTGTGTGTGTGTGTGTGTATGTGTTTCCCATTTTTCTCTTCTCTGAAAAATAATTTTTTTAAATACCCATTTTAATTTTTTAAGAGCAAGAGTCCAAGAGCACCTTCGAGACTTAACAAAATTTGTGGCAGGGTGTTAGCTTTCGTGAGTCACTGCTCACTTCTGAGGAAGAGTCGCTACTGAAGAAGTGAGCAGTGACTCACAAAAGCTCCTTCTTGTTGTTGTTCAGTCGCACAGTCGATTCCGACTCTTCGCGACCCCATGGACCACATCACGCCAGGCCCTCCTGTCTTCTGTCATGCTCCGAAGTTTGCTCAATTTCATGTTGGTTGCATCGATGACACTGTCTAACCATCTCATCCTTTGCCGTCCCCGTCTTCTTTGACCTTCAATCTTTCCCAGCATCAGGGTCTTCTCCAGTGAGTGCTCCCGTCTCATTTGGTGGCCAAAGTATTTGAGCTTCAGTTTCATTATCTGGCCTTCCAGGGAACAGTCAGGGTTGATTTCTTTTAGGATTGACTGATTTGATCTCCTTGCAGTTCAAGGGACTCTCAAGAGTCTTCTCCAGCACCATAGTTCAAAAGAATCTATTCTTCGGCGCTCGGCCTTCCTTATAGTCCAACTCTCGCAGCCATACATTACTATTGGGAATACCACTGCTTTGACCAGGCAAACTTTTGTTGTTTGTTGATGTCTCTGCTTTTTATTATGCTGTCTAGGCTCGGCCATTGCTTTCCTCCCAAGGAGCAGGCATCTTTTAATTTCATGGCTGCTGTCACAGTCTGCAGTGATCTGGGATGAAGGCAGGCCCATAGCTACAGCAGGGCATTTCGGGGCTCCGCCCCCTCAGATGTAAGGCACAGTCCACAACAGCTGCTGCCCCTCTCCTCTCCTGTGACATTAAAAGGGCCCTCCAGCTGAGCGGCAGGAGCATGTAGCCCGCTGATCAGCTGGAGGGCCCTTTAAATCTTGCAGCCACCCCTCTCCCTCCCCTCCTCCAAGATATAAAGGGCCCTCCAGCTGATCAGTGGTTACCTTAAACAGTGTTTTTCTAGCGGGGGCTGCCCCTGCCTGCTCTCCAAGTGACGAAATTGCCGCTTGGAATTTAGGGAAGGCATGCGGCCACCCTCCCCCCCTCTTCCCCCTCCTGCTGCCCCACAAAACTTCCCTATGCCCCACCAACCCAAAATATCTGGCTACGGGGCTGCTTGAAGGTGCTGCTGGACTCTCGCTCTTTTCTCCTGCTCCAGACAGACTAACACGGCCGACCATCTTGATCCATCTGAAGAAGTGAGCGGGTGACTCAGGAAAGCTCCTCCCCTGCCACAAATTGTGTTAGTCCTGAAGGTGCTCCTGGACCCTTGCTCTTTTCTCCTGCTACAGACAGACTAACAGGGCCAATTCCCTGGCCCCACCTGAAACCTTGGGGGGGTGGCCATGTGGTACAGGTGCAGAGTGACCCTGCCCAGGACTACACTGCCAGATTCACCCTGTGACTAGCCAGAGGACGGAAGGTCGGCTGGCCCCTGGATAGGGGGGGGGGAGATGCCTCCATCAGGCCTTGCAGGCCTGCTCCTCTTGCCTTCTGTCGAATGGAGAGCTTTACTGGGGGGGGCGGGTCCCCTGTAGGGACTGTGTGTGTTTAAAGAACAAGGCTTTTCACCCAGACCTCCAACCAGATACTGCTTCCGGGCCAAATTTACATATGTGGGGGAAATCTGGAAAGGAATTTGCCACTGACGGACCCAGGCCAGACATCTCTACAAAGGAGTTCTTGGGCTGGGGGGGGGTTTCTCTGGGACCAGTCCTGTTTCTGGGCCCATTTCACAAGAATTGCGGTTTTGCTGGAGAGAGCAGAAGAAGCCGTGCACGTTGGATCCCTGGGCTGAGCACGGCTTCTGATACGCAGGGGGTCTGTGAGGAAGAGTTCAGGGGGCACCAAGTGTGTGCTCGGTTTCCGAAACCACCGGGACAAAAAGTGGTTGAAGGTGCCTCCGATCCCTGTTTTATTTCTGCAGCAGCCACCCCTGCCCTGCACAGCTCCCCCCTTTGGTTTTTGATCTTACCGATGGCAGGCGTCTAAACACGCTGAGCTCCTACCCCGGGGGCTTCTTCCATGCCAGCTTTCCGATGGTGGCCCTCTCATCCGCTCCCTTGTCTGACTGACCGGGTTTCCTTTGTCTCTCCTCCTTCCCTTGCATCGACCAAAGGGATCCCGGCACTCTCGCCTCTAACGCAAGAGTGCCATGATGGAGGGGGAGAGGAAGGCCCAGAGGGGCTTTGGTGTGGCTCTGGCCACTTGTTCTTGCTGTGTCAGTGAAGAAGAAGAGTTGCACAGGACATCCTTGCCAGTGACCTAAAAAGGCAAACCTTCCCAACCCATGTTTTAGCTCCAATGAAACATGCTCTTTCTGGATTGATTCTGGAATCTGCTTCTGTCAAGGCTGGAGACTGTCTCCTGCCTTCTGCCTAGCAAACCCGCCCCAAATTGGCTCTGGTGCCTGAGCAATGCACTCAACCCCACTAGTTTGGGGGGGGGGCAGGCTTCCCCACTGACCTCGACTGACTGCCGGATGCTCCCTGCCTGGGCTGCCCTCTCCTTCCCATGCAGTCACCTTGGCCCCCCCCTCCACACTGAAGCTGCTGGAGGGCAGGTTCAGGGGGTCTGGTCTGTTGGGTGGTCTTTCATGCTCTTCAGCATGCACAGAGGTCACATTCAAATGCTCTCTGCTCATGCTGTGCTTAGAAAATGATTCTTAACCCCCCCCCAAAAAAATGCCCCAGAGTAGGACCTGCATCGTCCCAGATCATTCCAGCCACCATGGAGTTACTTGGAACAGAGTGCCATGTTGGAATAAAACTAATTCCCCCCCCCAGGCTGAACCACAGTGTGCTGTCTTCTTTTGTGTGTGTTTGGGGGGGGGCATGATGGGCCACCTGAAGATCAGAGAAGCTCTGGGGAGGGCATGTTAATATTTATTTATGTTCTTGATGGACTGCTTTCCTCACTGAGACTGAAAGAGGATTACGCAATGTAAGCCAATAGAAGCAACAGGATGGGGCATCCAAGTAGTGTCATAGGATTAGGACTGTGGAAATTAAAATGAATGAGGAATCTGGAACAAAGCTGAAACAAACCATGCATATTATGGTGGAATATTAACCAATGCATAAATTATACAATCTCTCATGTATAATTGAGTAGTGGGGTGGCACTTTCTGAACATTCCACACACTCCTAAATCAGTTGGCTCCATGATGTGTCACTCAGAAGCTGTCCCTATCCACTGGCTGTGTTGCCTGAGTCCTGCCCACAGAAGCCGCACCCACCAAAATCAACAATTGGCCTGTCAGCGAGTACTCACGTGCCATTGGCCAGATGCTGGGTCTGCTCTTCCCTGCCCACTCCCCACTTCAGCCACTGTTCCCTGTCAGAATTACTGGCAAAGGGCGAAGACACTTCTCCTGCTTGGCTCCTCTGTGGCTGTTGATAGGCAACTGTCAGTAAAAAGAGAAAGAAATGAAGCCCTTTCCAGGCCTTTGTGAGAAACTCATTGGGGCCAGTCCTGACTAGGGTTGCCAGCTCCAGGTTGGGAAATTCCTGGATCTTCTGTGTCTAAGGAAGCCAGAGTTTGGGGAGGGGAGAGGCCTCAGCTGAATAGAATGCCATAGAGGCCATCCTCCAAAGCAGTTATTTTCTCCGGGGGGGGGGGATCTGTTGTCTGCAGTTCAGCTGTGATACCCAGCGATCTTCAGGCTCCACCTGGAGGTTGGCTACCCTAGGTGTAGCAGTCAACACTTCAGAGCAGGGTCTGCCAGGCAGAGATCAGTTCCCCTATGGCATTATACCCTGCTAAGTCCTTCCCCTCCCCAAACGCTGCCCTACTGCCATCATAGAAAAGCTCTCCTGACAACTCTATTTTACATGATTTGAGGGATGCCTTCCTAACCTCTCCAGGCAGACCATGGGGTGGGGGGGGGTGTCACACCAGAGAACATGTGTGTACAGGCAGTTGTTGATTTTGCCCATTTGCAGAGTGGCACCTGCAAATGAACTGTCACTGTTGTGGTGGGACTTTGCATGGTGGCCAGTACCTTAAATTGAGCCCAGTAACTGATGACCAGTCAATGGAGTAGATGGAGAATGGATGCACAGTGCATGCTCCACCTGCTCCTGATGATAACTGGCTGCAACATTCTGCATGAACTGGAGCCTCCAAGTTGACTTCCAAAGGGAGACCT